AAATGCGCACGCTGCTTTTACAAGCTATTTAAAAGCGAAGGAAAGTGAGGAAAAGAGGCAACGCCCCGCCCCCGCGGTGACACCGGTATTACCGGTGTTGTCACACGTCAATTAACCGGTGGGAAAATTTCCTCACCGTCACAACCCTAGTGTAAAGGGCTTAATCTAAGATGTATAACAATTTTGGGTTAAATTTGATTTATATATTTACAGACAATTTAAAATTGCATCACAAAACAAACAGACAGAAAAATAATATTTTTGAGATTTTGCTTTTACTGGGCTTGTTTAAATATTTTTTGACAAACTCAAATTTTAGTTTGCTGTGTTTTATTCCGAAAATAAAGACAAAAGAAGGGGTAAAGTCAAAAAGCAACTGTGGCCCCAAACCATTTCACTTCTAACATGACTGAAAAAAAACAACAATAATAAAACACTAAAACAAAACCAAAAATAAGAAAAACAAAAGAAAAACAAAAAAAACAGGCTTGATTTTGTTCTTTGGGATTTGGAGTAAAGGGGTAAAAAGTCGTGTTCACAAACCTTTTTACTTAACATGATTGAAACAAAAGAAAAAACGAAACAAAAGAAAAAACAAAACAACACAAAACAAAAAAACAAACCATTTTACTTCTAACATGATTGAAACAAAAGAAAAACAAAACAACACAAAACAAACCATTTTACCATTTTTTCACAAACCATTTTACTTCTAAAATGATTGAAACAAAACAAAAACAAACCACAAAACAAAAACAAAACAGACAGGCTCGATTTTATTCTTTGGGATTTGGTGTTAAGGGGTAAAGTCAAAATGCAGTTGTGTTCACAAACCATTTTACTTCTTCTAACATGACTGAAAATAAGAAAAGACAAACAATACAAAACCAAAACAAAACAAAGCAAAACCAAACACCAAAACAAAACCTAACCAAAAACAAATCACAAAACAAAAAACAAAACAGTTAGGTTTGATTTTTTTCTTTGAGGTCTGACTGCATTGTCAAAACTGGTCTCTTTATCAAGTTCGGAGGGGAACAGGAGGGCTTGATGATGTCAGCAAAAATGGAAAGTCATTTCATAGGCAGAGCGAGTTATTATACTGTGATGAAAGATTACGAAGGCAATAATTTTTTTCTTCACAGTAATAGGTAGATCAATAGACCCAATTCGGATTCCATGTTAAACAATGTTGTTTGCACACTCTGCTTTGATGCCCGAGCATGAAATGCTGATGGTGTCGTATCTTCATTTATTCAGAGAGCTCTCTCTTTTTCACTGTGGTCGCTCTCTCTCTCATATCTTCCCACACCACAGCTGTGTCTCTCTCATTACAACAGGCCTTTCAACCTGCTTACTAAGGACAATCCAACAAAACACCAGGCTCACAAGCACACACACACCTGGCGCAGGTCTGATCCACATGAGCCCATGTGGTAAAGTTCCACTCACGGCCAGCTGTGCACAGGGACTTTATTTCCATACAAGCATCATGGAAACTCTGGAATGTTCCACGTCAACGCTCAACAGGTCTGGCCGTGACGATATGTCATGCTGTCAGATGCAGGAAGGTCCCGCCGACAGCACCGGAGGGTGTGCGATTACAACAAAATAGTGGAATTTGGACAGACGTGTGCTATTTTTCACACTACTGAGAACATATCATTGTCATTTTTTCCATACAAGCATCATGGAAACTCTGGAATGTTCCACGTCAACGCTCAACAGGTCTGGCCGTGACGATATGTCATGCTGTCAGATGCAGGAAGGTCCCGCCGACAGCACCGGAGGGTGTGCGATTACGACAAAATAGTGGAATTTGGACAGACGTGTGCTATTTTTCACACTACTGAGAACATATCATTGTCATTTTTCAGTGCATAAGTATATAAAATGTAAACTCTATGCCTATCCTGTCTTGTTGCTAAGCAACAGCGCTCCTGAGGAAAATATTTCACGTCAGCAGAAGCTCTTGGGCCCAAAGCGAGGTTGGGTCTACGGTTGCTGTGCCGACAGTCTCCGGTGACGGGCTCGTAGGGGTCTTTGTGCAGCACCCTGAATGCCAAAATGAACACAGGCAGACATAAACTCACTCTCTTTCTTCCTTATCGAGATGGAGCATGTCTTCAGAGAGCGTTCGAAATGTAGGGGAACTACGAAGCACAAATAAACACAAAACCACACGCATGACTAAAGAATAAGTTTAGCATGGCAGATGGTGCACATGACTGTCCTGTTCTGGAAGCACCAGACCACAAACATGAAAAACAAAGACTGGCTGAAATTTAAGGAAGCAGTACAGAAAAAACAACTGTCCATCTATCCTCTTTTTCAGTATATAGTATCCATGTCTTTTTTGGGGGGAAAGGACTAGTTAACACTATAATATTGCTAATTATTAATATTAACAAACAAAGATTAACAGCAAGAAATAAATAAAGCATTTTTATACAATAATAAAAACAACAATAATATATTAATATATTATAATATATTATCATAATACACAAACACACACACATATTAAATATTTATAAAATAAATATATGTTATATATTTTTCAGTTATTAAATGTTACTGGTTAATTTTTTATTAATGTATATTTAACAATATAAACTAATAATTTAATATAAATTAATTTCATTTAATGTAGAATATAATATACACAATATATATTGAATTACCTTATAAGTTATAAAAATATAAAAATAAGTTATTAAAAGTGTCACTATGAAAATGTTAACGTTAATTTACAAAATGCAAAAAAATAGTATTTTAAAAAAAAATCCCAGTTACCACAGTTCCTATTACTTTCTATGGGGACAATAAAGGAAAAAAAAAATGTTTTAACAGAAAACACAAAATGTTTTTTGTGTACTATCTTGCACACATGAACATATAAAAAAAAAATAAAAAAATCAATATAAAAAAAATGAATCAGGATTTGGCTTCCTCCAAGCTAAACTGTGCCTCCTGCATCTGACATGTTGCTGACTGCATCTACGACAGCTATGTCGTATGCAGCTATGCTCATTAAAAAGTTAGATCTTAAAAATTTGATGTAAAACCTGAAAGCAGTGTGTAATTTTCTTCTGAACAGTCTTCAACATTAATGAGACAGAAACGTCCATTCATCTGCTCTCGTTTCCATATTGCATGCACATCTTTCCTGAGGGTAAAGTGAGACTATAAATCAAATGGATCACTTAATGTATAATTAACACAGAACTTTTAAATCTTTAAATTAAATAATGATTCTTTCAGATGTCCCAACAAACCTAATGAAAAATACATCTCCAACATTATTTATTTTAAAATAAAGAATATTTATTTATTTAAAGTAACGATTATTTTACAGCCATCACAGTGCGCAATATTCCTCTGAACGTTATTCCAGATGGGCTGCAGCGGCTGAGGATTCACCCTGACCGAGATGAAGCCGGCAGAAGTTAGAAACCCTTGCTAATATGTGGGTTAAAGGAAAGAGAAGAGAGCGGCAATAGGTTCCTTACGTAATGGCAGGGTCTTCATAAAACATTCATTAGTCTGCCTAAAAAAAATGGCTGGGTCAACAGCACTGCCATTCCCCACATTCAACACACAGACCTAAAAACATCCACACTGTCAATGCGTGTATGCAGAGCTGAGTGGGCATCTTTAGACCGCTGTGCACTCGCACTGGTGAAAGAGTGCAACATTCATGTGTAAATTCTCTGGATGCTAGTGTTAGTGTTTAGGGCATGAGTGAGAGAGGATGTTTTTACTGCTGTCAGACCAATGTCCACACAGTAATAAATGTTACCAGCTGCAATGCATCAGGACATGCAGATAAGGCCATGTTCATCCAGATATAAAGATAAACACATACACAGGCTCTGTGCCAACCCAACTAAGCCGTCTCGATATCTACATAGACAGCTAATGTCTAAGGCAGCAAAACAGAATCTTATAAATGACTAAACTGAAATGTTAACACTCGCTAATGGGCACAAATAGGGCTCCTCAAATTAAAGACATGTAAAAACCAGCTATGTTCATGTTTCATTTTGATTTAACCTAGTGGTAGACGAATATATCGCCAATGGCAATATATTGGCCAATATTTGTTAATATTTTTTCATTAAAAATGTAAAATAAAAGATAAATTTTTTTAAGTTCATTTTTTTCCCACAGATTTTTCCAATTATTTATATAAATGTTATTTTACATAATATTTATATAAATAATTGCATAAATTCAATTTAATTGCCGATACTGGCATCAGCCATAAAAAAATTATCAACACGGTCAACCACTAGTTTAATTTGTGGTAAATAGGTTCCATTGCTAAATATTCTAATAAACAAAACAAAACAAAAAACAGAGAGCATGCACAGAAATTGGGTCATTTTTAATTAGATGAAACGTTTTTTTTTTTCAGTACTGAATAATATCTACATGGTCATTTGAGTTTAACCCAATGCATTCTAGGACTGTGTATATTTCAGAAGAATGTGTGCATTTCTACCTATATTTTGGTCAAAGTGAGAAATGCAATAACGCAGCATAATTTCGATGCCTACAGTGTGATTTAATGCATCTATAATGCTTAAAAATGCTGCAATTAGTAACTATTTTATGTTTTGGTCAATTACTAAGGGCTAATCTGTATGAATTCGTATGATCTCAGTCACACGTTTTTTTCGATCTGCTTACATCCCACTGACGGTTAGGTTTAGGGGCAAAACTGCAAAAACGGCATGTTTTTGCGTGACTCAAATTGTACGAAATCACCTTGTAGTTGCTTCTCCTCATGAGATCAGGTTGGGTTTGATTCAGTTCATTATATAAAGTTCATGCTCAGATGTAAACGGCAAGCTCACCCTAAGCTGAATGTGTCCTATTTCAAGGGTGGTTTTCGATTCAGCATGAAGTTTGAGGCAAAAAGGCTTCAAAAACATTTTTGAACCCAGTTACCCTACATTCAAGAACATTTTTACCACAGTTCCCACTTGCATTAAAACCCTCCCTCATAGGTGCTCCGAGTCTGGGCCGAAATGGCCATGGTAGTTGAATCTGTGCTTTCGATAAGTGTGGTTACTGTTTTACCTCAGTCAAGCACTCAATACACCCAGCGGGTGCGCTGGGGATGGAAGGTAAGCGGGAAACGCAGTGGAACTCACACCACACTGGTTTCCAGTTTACACAGAGTCTCATTGTACAGTCGGAATCAGTCTGTCTGATTCCAGTCCATCCGTCAGGTCGGCCCGAAGGCAACGGAGCTAATTTAGCCTGTCTCTCACAAGCTGTCACATGCTCCCTTCCTCTCATTCTCCTCACAGGGGTGTCATTGCTGTTACGTAATTACTAGCTGGCTGCACATACAAGAGCGAGGAGAAGAAAAAGCACTTTGTGGAAGAGGACAGGGAGCGTTTTGCTTAGTTTCTTTTCAAATTGCATTGCTTCAGGCATTTAGGCTGACTAGAAGCATGACAGCAGACTCTTTCACATCAGTCCTGGCTCAGCACTGTTTATGGTCACAAAAATGGCACAGGCTTCAGTTATGACAGATCAGAATGACAAGTTTTCAACGCAGCTTGAAATGGTTGTGTCAGGGTGACTAACACGAGCTAACGTGGTCAATGCAGGCGACCCAGAGAAAACAAAATACTCTGGGTGTAAATACTGTAAGCAAAAAGAGAGACAAGGAATATTTTGGGTTCAAACTCAAGTTAAGACATGACGTTACCAAAATAAATTAATGTCGCTCATTTTCTTTAAATAAAACAAAAATCTTGGTTACAGTAAGACACTTACAATGGAATAGAATGGGGTCAATCCAATAGTACCAGTGTTATTTTAGTATCTTTGAGATGCAATTATATGAATATATTATATGAATATTAAAATATTAGAATTTTATTTTTGTAGTTTCGGTTTTCATGTTAATTTTGGTTAAAGCTTTAGAATTTGTCTATGTGCTTTTGACATTTTTATTACGTTTTGTTGTTTTTAATATGTGTTTATAAAATTTTTATTAATTTTTTAATTTCAGTTTTATTTTTTTGTCATTTTAGTACACCAAGTTAAACTAAATAAATGAGAAATGTTGCCTAGGAATGTTGCCTAGCTGAAATATTTTTTTTTAAATAAAAAGTTTTATATATTTTATTTCAGTTAACATTAATTTCATTTCAAGTAACCCTGAAAAGTACAGACACAAGACAAACAATGTATTAACATGATTTTAAGGTGTGGGGGGGGGGGACAAAATAAAAAACTTCTTCACTTCTTCAAACTCACTGTCACGACAACATAATGTTTAAAAACCTAAAATGACCGTAAAATGAGTGTAAACATTGATTTAAACAGCTTTATAAAACACAAAAAAAGTATCCCGCAAAAATGGTCCTCATTAACTTCCATTTTAAGTGCCTCAATTTTATTCCCCAAAATGATTCTGTGTTGATAATCATTATGCAATCAGCAAACAGTTGACTGAGCTTAACTTGTACTCCTTTAACAGAAAAAAAAATATTAAAAAGGGAGAATAAAGTATCCAAAGGGAACAGAGAAGTGGTAAGAGTTCACAAAAACACAAGCTTGTCATTTCCGTTTTAAACACTCCAGAATGACTTGACAGGTCAAAGTAACTTATATTGAAATGAAACAACTAAGCACACATTCTAAGTTATTTTAAGGGATTCAATTAAATACCCTGGATTTATTCCTGTAAATTTCAAAAAGAAATACAAGGGTCCAGTCACTAAAATCTCAGAGGTCAGGCCAAAGCAAACACAAAGCCGTCTTTCACATATCTGCAAGAATGCAGAATATTTGTCTTCAAATATTAGTGTAGTGATACACAGTGTGTGTTGACATAGCAATATATAAGTGAAATAAAGATGAAAATGTGGAAAAAAGTTAGAACATGAATGTTGAATGCATGCAAAACAGGTTTTCTACACTGCAGTGGTGTTACATCATATAATAGACTTTACTCAATTAGGTTTGTTAGAAAATCTAATAATCAGTTTATAGAGCCCCTGCGTCCCGAGTCGTTTTTTTCCGCTCCCGTGGACCTCTTCCAGGTTTCCAGAGCTCTTGTTCCACAAGCTAATCAAAGTGCTAATAAATCAGCCTCTAATCTGAACTACTTAACATTAACAGCGACCCTACACTCACAATATAGACACAGCAAACAATAGGAAAGGTACAGCGCACACACTCACCGCTGTCCTTGCTGCTGTTCTCCTCAATGGTCATCTGTTCCGCCAGCTCCGAGAGCGATTCATCGATCGTCTGGCTACCACGCAGGGTGAGCGACAAACGTCTCTTAAACCTCTTCATCCTCTCCATGGGCCTCTGAGGCAGGGGGGGCCTGCAGGACAGACACACACACACACACAGCGTTAATCATCATCGGCCTGCGAATCTCTGCGGGACATGCAGTGTTTGAAGACTTCTTTTCATTAAAAACTGAATTTATTACTTTATTATTAAGTTCTGTGGCATTGTAGGTTCAGCGCACCCTATGGTGTGTGTATTTCGGACTCATTTTTGAGGACAAAGTGACCGACCAAACCAAGAAAAGAACAATGTTTCATTAATCATGCATTTTTTCACTTGTACAAATGCAAACAGTTTCAGAGTATTTTGCATTTGCATTTTAGAATTGGTTTAGGCTATGGCATGGAAATTATAATAATGATCTTAAATTAAATTTAAATTTAAATTAAAATTAAATTCTCTTCCAGGAAAACAGACCAAAATACTGATGACTCAACTAGTACACACAAGCATATGCCAATAAAATACTAGAAAGGGAACATCCCATCCCCCTGATGCTAGTCTCTGATTAGCAGATTAAAGAAAGAAATTATGGCTTGCTGGTGCATCTTCGGCAGTGATAACCCTCATACTTTCTCATTTACTTTTCCAACCAACAATTGCTGGAATGAATACATTTTAAATGAGATCTGATTGCTTTCAGTGTGGTTTTAAATTAAGAGTCCTTCACTAACGTCCTGTTTCAAAAGGGAAAAATGCTTGTCAAACCATTTCATGGCATCTTAAATATCTACTGACTAATAGGAAGGCCTCATTTAGTGTGTTAGTAAGTTCCTGTGGGATAGTTTTTAAACTACACAGCAGGCCTTTAAAACTTGCATGTGACATGCACAAATAATAATAATAAAAAAAAACTATTAATAATCCAAAGGCTTTTAATCAAATATTCATGAGACTGTATTTTGTTTTTATAGGCACTTCAACACATGGTTGTGCATTTTCAAAACACACACTCCCACATGCACCATAATTCCCTTTAGACCAATGCATTTTCTAAATATAAAATGACAGCAATATGAGACACTGGGTCTATTAACAGTAAAACACATAAAAAAAATTTTTTTAAAAAGAGTAATGTAAAACAAATAATTGTAATAATTTATGATTGAATGAGGGTTTAAAGTCAAATGTACAAATGAGAATGCTAAAATACATTTTCGATATTATTTATTCATACATAAATCTTAAAATAATGCATTTTAAAACAATAATAAAAATAATTTAAATAGAAATTGTATTAAAAAAAGAGAAAGAAAAAAAGATTTTTTGACTGAATGAGAGTTTAAAGGCAAAATTAGTCTAAATGTAAAAATAGGACAAATTAAAAAACTAAAATAAATATTCAATATTAAAATTATTTATAAATATATTTAAATATATAATACATTTAAAAATAATAAATAATTTAAATAGAAAATGTATGCGTAATAGATAAAAAGTAAATAAATGTAAATGCATGTAAATCAACTGAATAAATAAATATTATATATATATATATATGCCATCTTAAAATATTAATTTCTGATTGAATGAAAGTTAAAAGTCTAAATGTAAAAACAGTATTATATAAAATATAAATGTATTAATATAATATATATAATAATAATATAATATAATTTTAATATAAATGTATTAAAATAATACATTTAGAAACAATAAATAAATAATTTAAGCAGAAAACATGCATAATAAATTTAAATATTGAAATACACCGCATATCTTGCATCCCTAATCATTATACATAATAAATAAATCCTGTTATCCTAGATTTGCATTACTGTTGCCATTTTATAAAAGCAATAAACTACTCAAGGCATGCATAATGGTGATTTTAGCATGATAACAGGGGCTAATCGTCATGCATAACAACCCTTAAATGTAAAATCACTCATGCATGGTTTCTCTAAAGGCTTTTAATACAGCTTTAATGTGTATGTGTTCGTGTATTTCTCTCAATACATGCTGACTTTGCACCATTTTAGGCAGGAAACACCTTGCCATGGGAGGCAGCGGACAGGGTTTAAAGTCAAATGTACAAATGAGAATGCTAAAATACATTTTCGATATTATTTATTCATACATAAATCTTAAAATAATGCATTTTAAAACAATAATAAAAATAATTTAAATAGAAATTGTATTAAAAAAAGAGAAAGAAAAAAAGATTTTTTGACTGAATGAGAGTTTAAAGGCAAAATTAGTCTAAATGTAAAAATAGGACAAATTAAAAAACTAAAATAAATATTCAATATTAAAATTATTTATAAATATATTAAAATATATAATACATTTAAAAATAAT